TCCTTCTGTGATTGACTTATTTCACTCAGCATAATGTCCTCCAAGTTCATGCACGTTATGCGGTGTTTTGCAGATTCTACATTATTCTTTAGCGATGCATAATATTCCATTGTGTGTATGTACCATAGTTTGGTTATCCATTCCTCAGTTGATGGACATCTAGGTGGTTTCCATCTTTTGGCTATTGCAAATAGTGCTGCGAAAGACATGAGTGTGCATATATCTGTTCTTGTCATGGCTCTCACTTCTTTAGGGAATATATCTAGTAATGGAATAGCTGGGTCAAATGGTATTTCTAATTCCAGCTTTTGGAGGAAGTGCCATACTGCTTTCCACAATGGTTGTACCATTAAACATCTTCCTCTTCTTCACCTCTCTGGTTCAGAATAATGTATAAACTTCCCTACCACCATTTTCTTTTTTTAATCAGGCAGTGGAAATTATTGAATGTTCCCAACAAAATTTTCACTAAAATAACTTGTAATAATCCATGTAATGGGGTTCTACCTGATCATGAAAAAGAATGAAGTAGATACGTGCTGCTATCTTCCAAATATGTTAAGTATAAAAAGAAAAGTGTGCAATCTACTTCTACATTTTAAAAAATAAGATTATATATAAACAGGCGGTTCCAGAATTGCAAAAAAATTTTCATTCCTAAATCTGTCTTTAAATTGAATTTGTATGGAAGTTGGAACAGTTAGGTGTGGTTCTTATCTAATGTCAGTTAGTCAAACGTTTGTATTAGTATGTAGTATATAGTGTACCTTTTTATGCATACAAAGCATTAAAGAAATACTACTAGGCACACTAAAACATCTTATTATAACAATATTATAATAATAACAATGTTTTGATGTCCATCATAAAGTAGTGCCTGTTTGTTATTATGGACCATTGTATATGCCTCAAATTTTTGTAACAGAGCTTATGGAGGTTGGTTTGTAACTACAGTTTTATGTAAGTAGGATATTCCTAACCCAGGGACTACTTGTATACATATATAGGTGCTGTTAGTTGCTGTGGAATTGGTTCTGACTCATGGCAACCCTTGTGTGCAGAGTAGATCTGCTCCATAGGATTTCAAGGCTGTGACCTTTTGAAAGCAAATTGCCAGGCCTATCTTCCAAGGAAACTTTAGGTGGGTTCAAAAATGCCAACCTGTCGGCTAGTTGTCAAGTGCTTAAATTTACCAGCCAGGGTGGTATGTATATATGTGGTGAGTGTGTGCATGTGTGTGTGAATAAATGACTGTGTACATACAGTACATAGTAGATGTATGTATGGAAGATTTCCAGAAAGATACAAGGTACAGAATACAGATACTGAAGAAGGTCCCAGAAGTCTAAGATGGCATGGAGATCCATAGTGTACTCTTTTACACTGTTTGTATTTTGTATTATATACAAGCTATTTTTATATTATATCACTAACCAGATACATAAATAAGCACCTATGAAAAGCCAACAGAGTCTATGGTACAATTATAACAATGCCTTTGAGCAGGGACTTTAGCAGGCTGCCTTTAATTATGAAGTCTGCAAACTCCATATAGGAATTACTTTTAACCCATGCTTTACTTCTGAGCCCAACCCTTGCCCAGCCTGCCCCCCCCCCCCGCCTTAATGTTTTTAAATTTTTAACTGATTCAGGTAGGGAAAAAGATAAAAACCAAAATAAAACAGATTTAATAAGTGTCCACCTCCTCTACAAAGTCCTTTGGAGTCTCTCTCTGGCAGTCATCTCTCCTTGCTGTGAAATTTCATCACTCTTGATCTGCTCCTTCCTATGATTCGTATTGTTGTCTGCCTTAGAGTAGACATGGAGTGTTGCTCTAAGAGCAGAATCCTGCATTATGACTGTGCTTCCTTCTGCCAGGTACCTGCTGGAACAGGATTTCCCAGGCATGAAAATTGGGCCTGAGCCGTCCACGGACTCCTTTGTTGCAGTGATGCATGGAGAGACAGAAGGGATTATCCCCGGGAACGCTCTGGTGGTGGATCCTAAGAAACCCTTCAGGAAACTTAATATCTTTGGCAATGCCTTCTTGAACAGGTGAGTGTGGAGGGGAACAATGCCTTAGGGGTGGTCCCTTTTCTTCCTCTTGGATGGTGGGAAGTGAAATGTGATTCAACATGGTAGGGTCTTGGGAAATTTGGTGCATTTCCATACCTTGAGTCTCCTTTGATTGTCCTTTCTAGTTAGGAACTTAACTAGATCAGTTTAGTGGGAGCTGCAAATGCTTGGCTAAGTCCTCCAGATCAAGGAGCAGAGAAGGGTGTGACAGTGGATTAGATCACATTTCCCTGATCCACACTGTCCTCCTCCAATTAAAGTGGAGAAGGCTCCTGAACATAGTTCCCAATACTTGCCTATGTTGTGGCTGGGATTTGTATCCAACTGGAAAGAGCAAGATTCTTTCCTTTTCCTGGACATTGTTTTTACTCAGCAGAATGAACCCTGGGCTTAAGACTTCTAGAAGCCCTAGGTTTGAGCATTGACTTTCCTACTGTGTCCCCTCTCTTGGGTCAAGTTTACACCAGGGTCATCATGAAGATTTGAGTGGAGAAAGCTCTAGGGAATACTTGGCAAGCTGATCTGGGTGTTTACATTACTATTCTGCATAACTAGACTGAAGCCTGATCCCCTGATCATGCTTATTGTACTTATAGATGTACAATGTACATGTGTATCACATCTGTCACTGCCATTGAGTCGATTCCAACTCACAGTGACCTCCTTTGGGTTTACTTCAGTAACTTTTTACTGAAGTAGATTGCCCAGTCTTTTTCCCGCAGAATGGCTGGTGGATTTGAACTGCCAACCTTCTGATTAACTGTCAAATGCCTTAGGCAATGTGCCACCTGAGCTCTTTGCATCACATCTAATGATTTTTTAAAATTATGCTTTCTATTTGGAGGTATTTAGGTTAAGGTAAAGAAAGCATATGGGTGTGGCTTCAGAGGGACCTGGGTTCAACCTCCCTCTAGCACTGTGGATCTTGGACAAGTTATCTAACTTCTCTGTGTCTCACTTTTCCCATCTGTAAAATAAAATAATAGTAATATCCTCCTCCAAGGAGTTGAAGGAGAAATAAGTGAGATAATGAACAGAAAACATGTAGTGCCTGGTATATAGAAACTAAACAGAAAGTGTTAGATAGTAGTATTACTGTCATGTCTTATTTCATTTGAGTCCCCTCTTAAATACACATCCACTATTGTCACTTTTCAGATGTAGAAGTTGAAGCTCATTGCCCAAGTGATTCTCAACATCTTGTACTTGAGCAATATTTTTATTTATCAGAATATGAATGCCATTTCTTGTGGTGGCTTGAAATCAATAACTCTCCAAGGCAGCCATGGAAGGAACTGTGTTAATAAGGGGTGGAATTGTGAGTAGGCAAGATGTCTTCCCAAAGCATTGATATGGAGGGAGGGCCATTTGAGATATCTTGGGAAATTGGCCTGACAAGTAGAGAGTTTCTCAAGAGTTTGCTTGGATTATTCAGGGAACAGAGTTGCAAACTCATGTTAAGATTAAGGTGGTGGTCTTAAGGTGCATTGAGCTGAGTGAGGGGGTCCTAGACAAGGGTAGAGGGGAGGGCATGGGCCCAGGATGCTAAAATACAGAAATGAGGGTGAGGCAGGAAAGAGTATGATGGAGAAGAATGTGTCAGGAGGGGTGAACAGAAGCAGAGGCATCTGGGGGAAGATATGAAGGCTGGAGTTGATTAATTTTATTTAAGACACCTTGAGTTTGCAGTAACTGTGAGTCAGCCAAGGAGCATTATGCTATCTGAAGGCAGAGGGGAGAAGAAAAACCTGGAGTATGAAAGAGGTAATTGGGATCATTAGAAAAGAAGAGTACAGGTTTAGCGGTTAACCCCATTTTGGAATAATAGTGCCATAATGATAATAATAGTATATTGCATTGTATGTAATAGCATATAGTCTATTATGATAGCAGAATTTATGTAATTACCATCATACACTGGGTGCATTTCTGAGAACTCAGAGACTTTATGTCATTAATCAAACAGAAGTCTTGCTAACCTATTTTTAAACTTATTGAAATCAAAGGTGTTTGAGAGGTGGCAGGAGTGCGGTGGTTTACTCTGGGTAAAGACACTTAACCTCTTTGAATCTTAGTATCTTCATCTAGAAAATGATAAAATGCAAATTGTAAATGCTCTGTGCCCTCATTTCTTCCTGCAAATGTGTAAAGAGAATCTAAGAGAGAGAAAAACATATGGCAGTTACCTTTGATTGTTCACAGTGGCTATATTCAGCGAGAGGAAATGAGGGGGAAGGCAGACGGGGGAGAGACTTTTATATTTCATTGAATGTCTTGCCAAATGATTTTTTTTTCTTACCATATATATACATGTCTTTTACAAAAAAAAATTTTAATAAAATATGTATGAGAGTGCTGTGAAATGAATAGCATACACATTTAAAGTGATGGAGTTAAGCAGTCTAGAATCTCTCTGTAAACCTGTGACATCACAAAATAAAAAGTTTAGCCTGATGAAGTTGACTCAGGCAAGATTCTGAATTTCCACAAGGACCTTCGGTGCCTGGTCTGGAGAGGCAGAGTTTAATGAGAAAAGAGATGTGGCTGTAGCTGAGAGCTATTTCCATTGTCACCCTCCCAGGTGCCTTAGTAAGAGTAGAAGTCATGTTTGATTTCAGCAGACACTAAGCCCCTATTGGTGTGGGTTCAGATCTTTGGGAAAATATAATGTTGAGTCCAATCCAGTGGACACAAGGATGAAAAGAGCCAGTGATACCCTTGGACAAGGAGAATAGTAGTGCAGGCAACCTGCTGATGGGGCCTTGTACAAAGGCTGACAACTGACACAGATGTTAAATGATGAGTGAAATTACACTGAAAGGGTTAAAAAGGACATTCCAGGAAGATAAAAACTGGACAAAATATAAGCAGGGAGGACAGAAAGAATGTGGCTTTAGTGCAGGAACCATATGATCAGACATAGATCACATGGTAAAGTTTTGTAGTTGTCTCCAGAAGCACTCAACACTGAGATGATAGGGTTTAGATTAACTGCTGGCTGGGGGTCTGCCAGGCATGTGCATGAGAAGGACAACAGAGAGCAGGGTAGAAGCCCACTTCCATGTGCTTGAAGCTCCCCTGCAGGCTTGCAAAGAGTGCTGCCCCACTCATTTCCGGTTTCCCATCTCAGTGCAGCTGAGCAGTCCTATTCATATCCCTCGTCACCTCCCCTCTCCTCTACAGTTATTTCAAACACTCTCCAATCACCTCAGTCTCCCTCTTTTTTTAGCAAGTAACCTTAGTTCCTATTCTAGAGAAAATGGAGGCCAGTGTCCATGGCTTCCATTGATTTTTTTTTTTAAATCTAGATTTAAACTTAATTCATTTACATCTGTCCTCACTTCCTCCCTACCAGTCTTGGAGGGAGGCAGTGGCTTCTCTTTTTCCCCTAAGGTTAAATTCCTTCCTTACCTGTACTGGGCTTCAGGTGCATCTTCTCAGAGACCCGGCTCCCTCATTAATCATCTCTCATTCTGGGAACTTCCCATGGCTCCTCCCTTGCATATGGAAATGTGTCTTCTCTTAAAAACCCTACTGCAGTCATTTCTGATTGTCACTCTCTCTCTCTTTTTCCTTTCTCAACCAAGTGCCTTGACTTCCCCATCTCATTTCTTTCTGTCCTCTAACCAACGGCAACATGGCTTTCACCCATCACAGCTGCCCTTGACAAGGTCATCTGTGATGCCCCAGTTACCAAAGCAGCAGGCACTTGCCATCCTTCATTTACCCAACCTCTCTTTGACATTTATTACCGTTGGTGCCATCTCCTCTCATCTCCTTGCCTATCTTACTGCTTCCCTGGCCAGGCCTTTTCAGGTCTCATTTTTTTTTTACTTTTCCCCTGACTCCTATGACCTTAGAGTCACCCACCATTGGACTGATTCTCTGCCTTTTACCATTTTCACTCCATGCACCATGCTGGATGATCACTTAGCCACACCCATGGCTACAAACACCAGCCACACACACACGACCACCTGTGGTACCAAGTGACAGAAACCCAGCTCAAACTACAATATGGCATTTATTTTAGAATCCTGGGTTGTGTCAAAAAATCTAAGAGCTAGAATGTGGCTGAACCTTAAAACCAGACCAAACTCACTGCCATCAAGTTGATTCTGACTCATAGTGACCACCATTGGGTTTCCAAGGCTGTAAATCTTTATGAAAGCAGACTGCCCCATCTTTCTTCCACAGAGCAGCTGGTGGGTTTGAACCAGTGACCATTTGGTTAGCAGCCAAATACCTTAACCTCTACATCACCAGAGCTCACTGGTTGAGCCTCAGGCATAACTAAAATCATGTGCTCCAATAGAACAAGAATTGCCATTTATTTTTCTACCTTTATCATCTAGCACAATATCAGATACATAACAGGCACTCCACAGGTTATTTGTTGAACTGAACTGGACACATTATGAACAGAATGATTTTTCCAATAGTTATATCTGGTTGTCATTCTCTTGATTAAAATGCTCCTTTGAGTTTCTGGTGGTGTCATGCCTAAGGCATTTGACTGATACCCAGAAGGTTGGCGGTTCAAACCCACCAGCCACTTCTCGGAAGGAAGATTGGGCAATCTACTTCTGTAGTGATACTGCCTTGGAAACCCAAGGAGGGGTCGCTATGAGTTGGATACAACTCAACGGCAGTGAGTTTGGTTTTGGTTTTTCGTTGAGTTTCTACTACCCTTAGGATAAAATCCAGATTTCTTAACATGACTTTCAAGGCCCTTGTAATCTGGCCCCTGCCTACTTTGGCCACTCCAGTTCTTTCAATTCTGACCTCAATAATATGGTATAGTTTTTCTTAGCTACTATTGAGCTGGCCCCCGATTCATGGAGACCTCATGCACACATGGAACAAAATACTGATCCCTGTGATAGGTTGCAGATCAGACTGCTGTGCTCCTTAAGATTTTTACTAACTGATTTTCAGAAGTAGACCGCCAGGCCTTTTTTCCTGGTCTCAGAAGCTCCAGTGGAACCTGTTCACCATCATAGCAACTTGCACCTTCCATTGACAGATGGGTGTTGGCTGAGCACAAGGGCCATTGGCTGGGAATTGAACCTGGGTTTCCACATGGAAGGTGAAAATTCTACAACTAGACCACCCATGCCCCCAGTAATGTGCACTCCCTTGGAATGGTGTGCACTGTCTCACACTTCTATGCCATATTTAACCATGTTTTGTCAGTGCTACTCCTCCCCTCAGTCTTCAATGCTGTCTTTGCTCCACTATATATACACACATACACATACACCATAGCCTGGCTCCCTACCCTCACCCCTGGCCACCAGGCAAATGCTGTTCATTTTCAGAAGGCTTGGTTCACACTCTGCCTCCTCTATGAAGATTTCCCTGACCCTCCTCTCCTAGCCTCTCTGGCCTAACTCCATTTTAGCAGCCATATCACTGGGCAGCAAAGACTCCTCTCTCTGTCTGTTTCCCTGAGATAACAGGACAGCTTAATGTGAAAGGGGTGATAAGATACCCTTTTTGGCTTCCACTAAAGATGGCATACAAGAGAGCAGACTTGAAATAAGAAGAATTTAAGTTAGGTTTACCAATTTGTATTATGAGATGCTAGGAACTCTGGTAGCAGAGTGCCTAAGGCACTTGACTGCTAACTAGAGCACTTGACTGCTCCTTGCAAGGAAGGTTGAGCAATCTACTTCTGTAGTGATATCGCCTCGGAAACCCAAGGAGGGGTTACTATGAGTTGGGTCTGACTCGAGGGCACATAACCACAAAAGGATGTAATTACTGGAAATATTTCCTTGAATAAGGCTTGATTATTATCCTAATAGTGATATTTGGATAGCTCTTTGGATGGTATAAACAGTTTGTATTCAACTGCTAATCTAATGGTTGGTGGTTCAAACCCACTCAGCAGTGCTGCAGAAGAAAGGCTTGGCAATCTGCTTCCATAAAGATCACAACCAAGAAAACCCTGTGGAGAAATTCTACTCTGTAACCATGTAGTAACCATGAGTCAAAATCAACTCAATAGCAATGGGTTTAGATGCCCAAATAAATATTCCTGGGTGGTGTGATACATCCTACAAGGTCAACATCAGGACCTCCTCCTCTAAGAAGCCACCTCTGAAAGCCATCTCTCTGCCTTGGATCTGTCCAAGCCAAGCCCTTCATCTGACCTCCCTTGTGGTGCTGGTCCTGATGTACCTCGTATTAACCATACCTAAGTATGTGCTTTATCTCCTCCACCAGACTGTGTGCTTCTTGGGGGGCAGGGACCAAGGTCTGAACATCATGGTGTCCCCAACAGCAGGGATTCACAAGCATAGTACCCTGGCTGTTTCAGAATCCCCTGGGAATCTTCCTTAAAGTACATATTCTTGGGGTACTCTGTGCAATTGCATCTGACTGGGCCCTGGGAATCTACATTTTAATCCAGAAAGGCTTTGTGAGCCTCTGCCCCATAGCACTCAGCATACTGTCTTGCAGAGTGAGATTTCAGTAAATGTTTGTTAAATGGGAATTTTACAAATGGGAATACATTCAGAGAAACACAGTGACTTTCCCCAAGGTCACTCTGAATGCACTGGTGGTTTGGAGACAGACCCTTAAAGTTCCTCCTGCCCCCAGTCCCTAGGGGTCCACTATGAACAGGAGGCAGGGGTCCTCTTACTGACTATCTAAAGAAGCTGAAGTTCAGAGAGAGGGTAAAGTTAACTGTAGTCACTCAAGGCAGGGAGGTAGCTAGCCAATGGCAATTAAAGACTTATTTGGGCCACAAGAATCAGACCAAAGCTGTGGTCACAAGTGGGGGACAGGCTGTCAATATGGAGTTTCCTTACTGGTCAGTCATCAGTTTGTCAAACATACTCTAGGTGGGCTGTATGAAGATAGATACAAGAGAACTGTGGGCCCTCCATGTCAATGAGCTATAGAATCTAACATGAGGATTGAGCAGGGCTTCAGTGAACTCTTCAACATACAAGCAACCACTCAACTAGGAGATACAGGTGGTTGGAGCTGCGTGGGTGAGTCAGGGAAGGCAGGTGAGTGGCTTAAATGAGGGTGCATGAGAGGCGTCCAGGGAGCAGAAGCTCACTGCATGATTCCTTCCCCACCTGTGCAGGTTGATGTGTGCCCACCTGCCCAACCCTGTGCTGGAGAGCATCAGCGTCATTGACACACCTGGGATCCTCTCTGGGGAGAAGCAGATGACCAGTCGAGGTAAACAAGGCCCTGGTCGATGCTTAGCCTGAACTCCATGGTATGTTCTGTTATGTTCATGCTCTGCTTTAGCAAGAAAGAGGCACCCAAGGCCTTGCTGCCCCTTGAAGAGCTGGCACTGTCTCATTTGCTATATGGAGCTACTTTATGTGGGGTGGTCCTAGGCAGCGGCCAGCAGATGAGCTTGGTCTCATTGTAGTTCAGGAGACTGGAGCCCAGGTGCCCTCAGTTTCCTTATCTGTAAAATGGAGACAATAATATCTGCCTTCCTCACCTCACTGAGTTTACACATTGTCCAAGAGGTACCTACTATGGGCCAAACCCTGGCTTACTTGTAAAGCCCCTGCTGTCCTTGCCCTGGGGAGCAAATGTGTACAGAGAACTATAGCACAATGCGTGAGTGTTCTGGCTGAAGGCTGACACATGCTCTGGGTCATAAGGATGGGGAACTGGGTGTGTCAAAACTGTCCACTCCAGACAAATATAGGGTAATTAAGGGAGGTAATGTGGCATGGTGGTACAGTGCCTAAGGCATTTGACTGCTAACCAGAAGGTTGGCAGTTCAAACCCACCGGCCACTCCTTGGAAGGAAGAGAGGGCAATCTACTTCCAAAAAGATTTACTGCCTTGGAAACCCAATGGGGGGATCACTATGAATCGGAATGGACTCGATGGCAGTGAGTTTGGTTTTTTGAGTAACATGGCATCGTGGTTAGGAGGCAAAACTCTAGAGCTGAACTTCCAGGGCTCTGAGCCTAGCTCTGCCACTTCCTAGCAGTGTGACCTTGAGCAGGTTTCTTTACTTAGATTTCTTCATCTGTAAAATGTCGGGAAATAATATCTACCTTATAGAGTTACCTGAGAATCAAAAGAAATACTATAGATAAAAGCCTTCTCTGTGGCTCATTGCAAGTGCTCTGTAAACATTAGGAGTTATACATCATCATCATCATCACCATCATCATCCTTGTCATCATCATCACCATCACCACTCGTTCTTTTTAGCTCTAAAATGCTGAGACCAATGCATTAAAAAAACCAAAGAAGAAAAAAAAAATCCCTGCTCCTGGCTCCCCACTCTCAGACTCTTCTGCCACAACATGCTGTGTGACTGGGTGGCCCCCTACCCCTTCTGTACCATGTGTTATATCCATGACAAGAAAAGCAGATGAAAAGAAACTGCACCCACCCCAATACTGGAGCCATAGCTGGGGCTGGAGACAAATCAGCACTTGGAAATCATCCTCCAGGAAGGGAAGGGTTTTGACGGGCAAGAGTTCTCTGAGAAGGGCTGGAACTCTTGCTGGAATTGACCTCTGGTGACTATCTACTTCCCAGCATGCGCCTCTGCCTCCATGCCCCATGGCTCTGGCTGGGGCAGACTCAGAGGCTTGTCTGCAGCACATCTGTCCAGGGCAGCATCCACTTCCCCAGGCCCTGCTGGGTGAATCCACAGCCCCATGGGGGGGGTGATAACGAGTACTCCCATGGCTGTGCACCTAGGAGGCTGGGGGCAGGGCAGGGCCTTGACCCCATCAACAGTGTCAGAACTGGGCTCCAGCGCTCTGCTCTGGCTTTTTCTCTTCCAGTGCTGCTGTCTGATGAGGGCAGACATTGGGTGGCAGTACCAGGCTCAGTTTTTTGGGGGTGCACCTTGGCTCTTTGGGGGTACATCCTTGATGGGCAGTAGAGAGAGAAGACAGCACAAATGGCCCTCTAGGTTAACAGCCTGCTAACCACAGTTTGTTCTTAAGGGACCATACTACCTGCTCTTCTCAGGGATTCATTCTGGATCTAGTAGGAGGGAGAGAGAAAGTAGGAGGCTCTTTGCAGCAAGCAGTGAAAACTCTGGGCAGGAAAGTCTTGCCCCTCTCCCAGCTCCCTTTTGCGGAGCTCTGGTAGTGTAGTGGCTAAGGCACCTGACTGCTAACCAGAAGCCTGGCGGTTCAAACTCACCAGCCACTCCTCAGAAGGAAGGTTGGGCAATCTACTTCCGTAGTGATACCCCTTGGAAAGCCAAGGAGGGGTCGTTATGAGTCGGGACCAACTCGATGGCACATAACAACAACAACAACATTTCTGCAGGAGCTCTGGTAGCATAGTGCCTAAGGCACTTGACTGCTAACCAGAAGGCTGGTGGTTCAAACCCACCAGCCACTTCTTGGAAGGAAGGTTGAGCAATCTACTTCCTTAGTGATACTACCTTGGCAGCCCAAGGAGGGGTCGCTATGAGTCGGGTCCGACTCCATGGCACATAACAACAACAACAACAACATTTTTGCAGTGTGGTAGTAAGAATTTAGGACCTCTCGTGGTGCAGTAGTTAAAGCATGCAGCTGCTAATCAAAAGGTCGGCATTTTGAACCCACCAGCAGCTCCACAGGAGAAAGATGTGGCAGTCTGCTTTCATAAAGATTTACCGCCTTGGAAACCCTACAGGACAATTCTACTCTATCCTATGGGTCACTATGAGTCAGAATCAACTTGATGGCAGTGGATTTGGTTTTTGAGTTTGGTTGGGTACATAGGAGGTGAAACTTGGGAAGAAGAGGGGAAAGGAAACAACTGAGTCAGGAGGGGAGATTGGAAATTATGTGAACAGTTCATACTATGGGTGGTCTGCATGCCCTGAGGTACTTATAGAATGCCCCTATGAAGGAGGTATTGGGAGCCTGAGCCCCCTAGCTTACCTGGGTTGTGTGGTTGAGGATGACATAGTAATGAGGAGGGAGTGAAGGGGAATGCATGGCCTCCGGTGTTCCTCACCTTCCTCCTTCCCACATACCTGTCCATTGTAGGCACCCTGGCTGAGGGGTAAAACCCTGTGGAGGAGCAGCTGGGTAGTTTAATCCTAAAAGAGATTTACTGTTTCACATGGGCAACCTGCACCCTCTCAAGGAAGGCTCATGAGAGCCTTAAAAAAAAAAAAAAAACTCACTGCCATAGAGTTGATTTTGACTCATAGCGACCCCTTCTTGGATTTTCAAGGCAGTATCTCTATGGAAGTAGATTGCCCAGTCTTCCTTCTGAGGAGTGGCTGGTCGGTTTGAACCATCAACCTTCTAGTTAGCAGTCAAGTGCCTTAGGCACTGCACCACCAGAGCCTTAGCCTTCTCAAACTGTACTACCCAGAGGGAGGGATATGGCATGTGTACTTGCAAGGCTAGTGTGTTCTGAGAGCTGGCTCCAGGCACTGGGGTTTCTAAGGGTCCTGGTTCAGTAATTCAGAGTCTTGGGTTTTAGAACCTATGTGGGTTTGTCTCTGAGCCTCTATGTCCCATGTGTAAATGTGATCATGATAAAGGAAACATAGACCTCAGCTTTGTGTCCGGATCACAGTGAGCTACCTACCAGCCAGGGCCACCCATTATACAACCCCAGGACCCCAGGAACACTTATGGATGGCACCCCATACAGTTGTTCAGTGCATACCCTGGAGGCCCATATGCAGTGGCACTGATCCAGGGATGCCTGCCTTCCTCAGTTCCTATCCATTCCATTCTTTTCCTCTTCCTCTGCCTTCTCTATTGCCTTTGTCCTTGGACCTAAATGCCTGCCCTACACAAATAGGACAATTGGTTTTCTTGCCACTCTTCCTATCCCTGCCATACCCCACCTCATGCTGATTAAGTATCAGGTCCCACTCACCTCTGGGAGAAGTAGTAATGATCCATAAGTAGTTAGGGAAGCCAGTTCTCTGCCGTGCTGAGTCCAGAACATCAATGCAGCTTGTGATAAGAACAAAAGCCTACAACTGGGCCCCCAGCACCACATTGCTAACCTTGGGCCGTGCTTACCTCAGCACCCTGAGAAGACCAGGACATTTGGGGGAGGGGAATCAGATTCCCTCCATGTATCAGTGGGACCACAAATAAGGAAAGTCTTAATTGTGCAGAGTACCTCCTGTCTTTCCTCACAATATGCCATAGAACCTTATAGTTCCATTTTATACCTACACCTCATATACACATATGTACCACCACATGTACACCCCCATACACACACATGCATCTAACACAACCCCACACACATACACACTTACGCACTCCCACATATATGCACAGATATACCCCTCACATAACTCACATATACACCCATACATAACGTCCTCATATACACAGGCATACACACTTCACCCACACTCCCCACACACATATACCCACATACACTGACACATACATATATACTCATATACACATATACACACATTATACAAACCCACGTACATATACATATACACATATACATATACACTTATACACACATGCATACCACACAGATGTGTACACCACCTCTACCAACCCCTTTCACAAGCACAGAAGTGTGTACATAGAACCAAATGTGCTTCGTTATGAGCTTCTTTCCTGAGACTCTTGGAGCTCTGGGTTTACCCACAGTAGATTTGACACTTCTTCCCTCCCCCTGGCCAGCCCAGGGTGGACAGGGCCTCCATGGACAATTGTGCAGTGGGTGCCCTGCACAAGGTCACCAGGCAGAGAGGTATGTAGAACCTGAAATTCAGCCCATATTCCCCTCACTGAGACTTGTGCCTGGCACAGTGTATGCCTCATCAGAGAAAAGGGGTACATTATCAAGTTTATACAGAGGCATACTATAGGCTGGTGGCCCTGTGTGCCACATTAGACTGTTGAATTCTGAGAATTGAGCTGCTCCCATGGGCTTCTTCAGCCTCAGGCTTCACAGGAAGGCCCCAGACTAGAACCAGACAAAGCATGGTCCTTGCTTAGGGTGAGGCCCCTCTGCCCAGCCCTGGAATGTGTGTGTATCCGAGGAGAAGAGGGTGTGAGGGTCAGGTTCATTTCTTGGCATGGCACCTGAGAAACAGGCCCAAGGTCATAGACCGGCACTCTGGAAAAAGACACACTGAAGTGGGCAGGAGAGATGAGCAGAGGTGCTTCCTGAAAATGACAGATGTGCCCAGTCAGAACTCATTACTGGGAAGAAACTAGGATGGAACAGAGGTGGGGGCACCGGAAGGC